ATTTTTTCCCCCACCCCTAATAGTCAAGTGTGCAGTGATTCTTTAGATGCACAGTTTGTACTTTAGTTTTTCCTTTTAGGGTAATGAATAAGAATATGACTCGATCACTCAAGTTTCCTAGAATCAGATTATTTTGACGTGTTTCCTGTTCACTTTTTACCAGCGTGTAACTGTTTCATTTCTCACCAGCTCAGCATACTTTAAACAGGCATTAACCACCGCAGCTCAATGTGGCTAACTGGCTGTAGCAACATTAAGGCTGAAAAATGGTTAAACAGACAGTCAGGGGAGTTTTAAAAACTGCTACAGCCCTTTTTAATGTTTAATAAAGATTTCATTGGTTTTCTGTGGTGTGTTGTAATATCCTTTCACTTTAAAATCATCTTTTCTGTGCTTACTGGGAGTTATGCACAACGTGAAATCTCAGATTTCCAGAAAGAAAAGGACAAATCAGTGGAAGTGGATCTTTAGGTTATTGTTTCCACTGTTGGGTTTCCTCGTCGTCTTTGTATCCCGACGTAATGATTTGGTTCAGTCGTGACTTAATCGGGTCAGACGAGGGCTTTGAAGGAAGCCGGTGAAACAGCTGAGAGTCCTCCGCTGACAGTCGCTGTGGTGCTGCCTCTGCACGAATTCATTCAAAGCTTTCGTGTAGTAGTTTACAGAGTTGGCTCTGGATTTTGGTGAGCAGTGAAATTTACAGCTCTGTTGTGAATCCGATTGGTCTGTGTGACAGGATCTGAATGAGTGCACATTTAGCAGGAAAGCATGACCTTAATTTTGACCCAGGTTCGACGTGGAGACCAGACACGCCTTCGTAGGGGATCAGTCTGGTCAGGTGACCATCCTGAAGCTGGAGCAGGACATCTGCAGCCTGGTCACCACCTTCAAAGGACACACTGGTACCCACACACAAGCACCTAGTGTCCTAATTGAAGCACAAATGATTAATTAATCGGTCAGCTGATCAGGTCTCTGATAGTGTCACTGTTAGTTTGAGTGATTTTTAACAGATGACATGGAGCTTAG